CGCGCCTTCGCGGCGGCTGCCTCCTCCTTGCGCCTCTTGCGCCGCAGCTCGCGCCCAATCTTGGCGGCGGCGCGGCGGTCAAAGACCTGGGCCGGCGGCGGCGGGTGGGGCAGCGGCGGGTGGAGTCTGCGGCTGCCGTGGTGCATCGGCGAGCGGAGGTCCTCCTCGCCCAGCAGCCCAACAACCTCGCCACTCGCGCCGGCGGCACAGGGCAGCCTCCCGGCGCTGAAGCAGTAGCGCCTGTGCGAGCTGCATGAGCTCGCATGCGCCGCGCTTGGGGGTTGGCTCGGTGCCTGCTGCCTGGCTCGCTGCGCCCCGGGCCCAGGGAGACCGTCAGCGTCACATAGCAGTCGTCAGCGGGGGCGGATTCCGGTTTCCGCGCTCCTCCCCGTCCTCGCGCGGCGCCCCGTCTCGCGGTTTTTCGCCAAAGCCGAAAGCGCAAGGCAAAGGCCAAAAAGCAATTATCGTCACAATCGTTATGGCCCTGGACTCAGATGAGAGAGATGTACCACGACAATAGCCCACACAATGTAGTAAGAGAGCCACACGCCACACGGCATCAAATAGAGACTCGAGTACACTCAGAAGTCAGATCTCAGTCAGCGGGCCTCGCGCGGTCGCGGTGCGCTTTGACTGTGTCAAACAGGGTGCCCGCTCCTGTCCCCTTGTGCGGGGCAGCGGGCAAGCCCTGCCCAAGCATCGAGAATCACACGCGAACCTTTTCGGACCGGATGGGGAGGGAGGGAGAGAGAGACCAGCAGGGCGCCCGAAGAGTCCGAGGCGCGTGGCGGGGCGAGCGCACTGTCGCGGAGTCTCGGAGTAGCGAGTACGCGGGCGACGATGCGCCTCTCCCACCCTCACACGGATGCCTCCTCGGCCAGCGCCAACCGCACAATGTCGGACGAGGTGATGATGCCCACGAGCCGGCCGACCGGGTTGACCACGCACAGCCGGTTGTGCCGCGCCTGTGCAGTGGGTCTGCCGTGAGGCGGCTGCCAGAGGCGCAAAGGCGGACCCTCGGGCATCCCGCGCCGGAGAGCCATGCAGTCGCGTCTACAGTCCGGCTACACCCCGCGCTCTCCCTCTCTCCCTCTCGCCTTGAGCATGCGCGCCGCCGCCTCCTGCATCGTCGCCGTCTCCTCGATGCAGGCCGGCGAGCGAGACATTGCAGACGCGACCGTCTCCGCCTGCAGGAAGGCTCCGAGGCGGCTCAGGGAAGGCTCATGGAGACAGGTCAACGAGAGGCCCGCTGCGCCTCAATCTTGCGCAGCCGCACCGTGTTCTCCGCGTACCGCACGCTCGCCGCGCCCTCGCCACCGAGCTTGAGCGAGGCGCGGCCGGCGACCTCGCAACAGCAGAGGAGGCGCGGGTCAGGACTGCGGCGCTGGCTCTGGTGTGGCGGGAGGGAAGAAGGGAATGGAGCAAGACACCAACTAGTTCTCTCTCGCGCGCGCGCGCGTAGCTCGCGGTGCATCTCTCTGCCGAGTCTCTCTGCCGGCACCTTGTACAGCAGGTCCGTCTGGGAGAGGATACCGACGACTTTGCCGTCGTCCAGGACGGGCGCGCCGGTGATCCCGGAGGCGTCGAGGATGCGCGCCGCCGACATCAGGTCGTCCTCGGGCTTGAGGAATACGACGTCAGCCTTCATGAAGCGAGACACGATCTCATCGTGGCCCGGCCAGTTCTGCTCCTTCCGGCCCATGAAGCCGAGCCAAGAGGGCCGCTCGGCGAGCAAGCAGGGCTGCGGCGAGCGCGCGGCACGACCGCCCAGCGCGGGCCTCGAGGCGGGGAGCGCGATCAGAGCGGCGGTCGTCCACAGTAACATGAACATGCGGCTCGGTGTCGCTCAATGATTGCAGCGACGACTTGGCGCCGGATTTCTTTTTCCGAGTCCAGAAACACGCGCTGGTTGCTCCTCCGTTTGTATCTACCCTTATAAGTCTCTCGTGTCGGCGCCGACGCTCTTGGTTTAACCGTAGAACGTCCCAGCCGAAATCCGCCCGCCACGATCGATCAGTCCACAATCGTCGGCCCCCAGCGACCCGCAGCGATGGATGCCGCCGCCCCCCCGCCCCCTGCGGCTGACGCGCCGATGCACGACCGGCCTCCGTGGGATGGCTCTCCGGCCTCTCCGGCCGCTGACGCGGCCGCCCATGCTGCTGCCGATCCGGTCCCTCTCACGCTCAGCGATATCCGCACAAGCTACGACAACTTCGAGGTCGCCGGCTTTGGCCAGGTGCAGCCACCACCTGCTTGCCTCCATGTTCACGCTTCGCGCCCCTTCCCCCCCTCTGACGCCGCCGTATGACCGTAGGTGAGGGGCACGACTACCCGCCTGGAAGGCGCTCTCATCAGCAAGTCACCCAGGCACCAACTCCTGGGCGTTTACGCTTGACTACGAAACCATGCAGTGGATGCAGCTCGATCAAACCGGCGACGCCAACAGCTGGTCCCTGGGCGAGTTCCTCGCCCAGGATGAGGTGCGAGTCATGATGCTCGACCCAGCGTGCACCAAGTCGCTCACATTCCGTGAGTTCGTCAACGGGCCGAACACACTCTCCAAGTCGACTGCGATCTCGGACTCCGACAACTGGACCGGTGCACCAGCCGCGGAGGACGATGGCTCCCTCGACGACATCCCTTCATCGACGGACGCCTTCACCGCCGCCGGCCCTGGGCCATCCAGCGCGGCCTCCGACGGCCTGCACGTGATCGAGCGGGTACAGAAACGGTGGCTGCCCAGCTCACACCCTAATCGATCTGCCTTAGGCACGGAGCCAACGGAGCCATCGCGCATGCCCGCATCGCGTGCGGCTCCGAGGTCTCCCGCCGAGACCGGCTCGGCGCGGCGCGTGGCCGCACGCCGCCGTTGAAAAGGCGAGATAGGACCGAGGGGAGAGCGCCGGCCACATCGAGCGAGCGCTGACGTGTAAGGTGTCTGTGCTGCTCCGGTGTGTGTGGGATTCTGCCTCCCCCCCATCTGTGCGGCGAGTTGTTTGCGGCGCGATGCCCGATCGTGCGCGATAGCCTCCCATTGTGCGTGGTGTGTCGGTGTGTCGGGGTCGTCCGGAGCGTGTGGCGGCGCCGTTGCCATCAGCGACTGCTCCACGTGCCACGACTGCTTTGACTGACGTGACTGACTGTGATGAGACATGAGAGCTGATGCGTGATGGATGATCTCCGACAACCCAAAACCAAAATGAAAATGCGGAGTGGCCCACTTTGGCGTGCAGATCCTGCGTCTCTCACTGCCCGAACAACAGAGACGGGTACCGCCGCAGGTCCCACACTAGTCTTCAATACGAGTTTTATCAGAAGACCCTGGAAGACCCTCGACGCTGCAGCGTCCAATATATAAAGGCCGCAGCGAGGTCCGGTAGAACTTCGCTGGCCCGCCGCGTGGAGCCCGTCGCAGCACATCGCCGCACCACTGTGGACCAGACAGGGCCGAGATGACGGCCTGCGGCCAGGCCGGCAGGAAAACCGTCTCTGTGCGAGCGCGTCGCCGCGTGCAGGAGAAGCAACGACTCGCCAACCGGCCTCTCGCTGTGTCTCCGCCGCCGCAACTCCGCCGCGGTCCGTCTGTGGGGTGGTTTGGGCAGCTGAGTACGAACTGCGGGATGGCGTGCGGGCTTCTCCTTTTTGCTGTATTCCTCGGTTGCCTGCCATCCGTCGGCGGCACGGCAACCGTCCCCGTCAGCCGCACCGTCGTCCGCGGCCGCCACATCCTCACGAGGAAGGAGTACCTCGACACCTTTGCTGGCGACACGGCTGGGTGGGCACAATACATGGAGGACCAGTACTTTGCCGAGCAGGGCGTGTCCCTCACGGCCGACGCCGAGGAGCGAGTCAGCAACAAGCCAGGGGAGACGCTCGGTCAGGCGAAGAGCCGGCTCTTCTTCAATCGCGTCCGCAAACCAAACATGCATCCAACCGAGCTCAGCCAGGCCGCAAACCAGTCCCGAGTGCAGAGGAAGCGAGAGAGCCCTGAGCAGCGCGACAAGGGAAAGCGAGACGACCGCACACGGCGGCAGACCAAAAGGGCGAGGCAGGCTGCCGCTCGCCCCGCCCGCCGCGCCTCCGAAATACTCAATGGCTCGCTGCTGGTCGAGGGGAGCGACGTTGGCAAGTGCGCCCGCCGTGATGCCGCCCGGCCGCACTCTGCGCGATCCTAACACGTGCTACTTTCTTCATACCGTAGGCTCGCTCTCACAAAGGAAGAGCAGAGCACCTCCACCACGTGCGCTGGCTGTGGCGCCGAGCTGCTTCCAGGCGAGGTCACCTCGTCCAACCCTACTTACGGCTCCATATGCTGCAAGAAGAACAAGGTCTCGCTCCCGCCCATCTGCATGCCCTGTCCGGAAGTCACCAAATTGTGGCACGATGCTGATGGCGTCGTCGGCAAGACACTTCGGAAGTTTGCCCGCGCCATCAACAACACGCTAGCATTCGCCTCGCAAAAGGTCAAGCGGCCGAACAATCTTCCGGGCTCAAGCACGTGGAGTCCGACCGTCGTGATCCAGGGCAGAGTCCACCACTTCATCGGGTCCCTCGCTCCGAATGACAACCAGTCGAAACAATTCGTTCAGACGTACATCAATGACCCGTCCATGAGCGAATGCCAACAGATCGACTATCGAATGGGCGCGATCTACCTGCCAGCCGATACGTCTCAAGCCGAGAAGGAACGTGTCCGTGAATGCCTCGAGATCATGCAAAAGGCGATCACCGAGCACAACCCGTACGTCCAAGACTTTGTCAAGGTAAGCGCCGTGCTGCGTGTGCCGCGCTGCTAATGAACCATATTGACTTATTATTTCGCGTCCTCCTCGTAGGCCTACGAGCGTACGGGCGGCAACGAGACCAAGGCCAAGATTGTCATCAACGCCGACGCTCGTCCTCCGCCCCCTCCCGGCGACGGTCCTGCTACCTCGCACCCTCGGAGGTACAACGCGCCCAGTGACAAAACCTACGGCCGCCAAGATTACGCCGAGGTGGCTGTTCTCAAGCCCGACGCCGATGAGAATGGCCGAGATATCGTGGTCAAGATGCGGGGGGGCGCGCTCAAGACAATCAACGAGACACATCGAGGGTACGACCCACTTCACTTCGTCATCCTCCATCCAGCTGGCGACGACGGATGGAAGATCGGGATGACCAAGACTGGCAGCAAGCAGTCCATCAGTCCCTGCGACTTCTACGCCTATCGTGTGCAGTGGCGTGTCGACCAAGACGGGGCAAACTCGCTCCTCATGTCGTGCCGTCTCTTTCAGGCACGTAAACGAGAGGCATACCCCGAGAGCGCGTGCTGCCCTACATTGCTCACGATCGCACGTCCGTGTCTTTAGGAGTACGTATGCAGCGCCTTTGCAAAGGCGGAGCATTGCAGGCTGCAATGGCAGCGTCACAATCAGACAACTATTCGGGCCGTGCTCTACCAAAACCTCGTCGACCATGTCGCAGCGGGGGACGCTGGCAAGAAAATCGGCAAGCGTGTCGTTCTCAGCAGCAGCTTCGTCGGCGGCAATCGAGATCTGCACCGACGCTATCAAGATGCGATGGCGGTCGTTCGCGCGCACGGTAAACCATCCTTCTTCATCACGTTCACGTGCAATCCTAACTGGCCCGAGATTGTCAACTCCCTCCCCAAGGGGCTGAAGGCGTGCGATCGACCAGACATTGTGAGCCGAGTCTTTCGTCAAAAGCTGAATGAACTGCTGACCGACATCAAAGAAAAAGCGATCTTTGGGACCGCCAATGCGAACCTTTCCGTCACCGAGTTTCAAAAGCGTCCGCATCACCGTCCAAAGAGGTGCCCTCCGGCGTGGCGGCCGAGGGGGGGAGCAAGGAGGCCAAGAGCTTGACCCCGTCCAAGCGGGCCGCCGCCGCCTCGCCGGCGTCCGCATCGCGCCCTGTCCGCAACGGGCGTGCCGCCGCCGCCAAGCCTAGCATGTGACTCATAGCCCGTCGTCCCCGCACTCGCGGTATGGGCTTCCGCTCGTGCATTGTTCCCGAGAGCGACGAGGGCGAGAGCTCTGGTGACGAGTGCGGCTCGGCGGCCGCGGAGGCGGCGTCCGACAGTGAGTCGGAGTCTTCCCTCCTCGAGCAGGCCATACGGGCGGCGGGTGATGTGTGCGGGCCGTCGACATCGGCCGTCGAGACGGGCAACTCTCTCGAGGCGGGCAACTCTTCCGACGAGGACGCCTCTCACTGCGAGACGCTCGGGGCCGACGACTCCTCCGATGCGTCCTACACCGACGGCGACTCCTCCAGCATCGACTCCGATGTCGGCGGCGCCTCCGACGAGGACAGCGACGCGTCTTGGTTGCCCTCCGACTAGGCGTCGGCGCTATACAGAGAGGAGAGAGGGTATCATAGTATATGCGTGCTTCTGTGTGTGTGGCGACGCGTTGTCTGCCGCTGTCTTGCTTATTACACCTCATAGACATGTGGTGCACCTGGCACTAAGGCACCTCCCCGCGAAAAAGACACATCTAAACCCGGCTGACGGCGGCCTTACAATTTTCCTAGCAAGCCTCTACTGCTTCGTTGTCCGTCGTCTGCTGCTGTACAATTCTGGCCTCTTCTCCGTCGCAAGGGCCCCGCCCCCCTCGAGGGGGGGGCGGGGCCCGCGCAGGGGCCCTCTAGTCGTTCTTAGAAGAAACACGAAGGCCGTGACGCTGCTGGTTGTAGTCGACGCCATTCGGTGCGATGCTCGCCGTTCTCCCTGCACTCGCAGGCCTCGCTGTCACTGCGCCCACCTCCTCGCGCGGCGTGGCGCACCGCGTGCTGCTGCGCTGTGCGCGCGATGGCGCGTTTGCCGACCGGGCGCTCTCCTCCGCCATCGAGGGCGCGGGCGGCCTGAGCGGTGGCGACCGGGCGCTTGCCACCGAGCTGGTGTACGGTGTGCTTCGTCACACCCGCTCGCTGGACCACAGCCTGGCCCAGCTTGCGACGCTGAACCGGACGGCGCTCCCCACCGCCGTGGCGCTGCGGATCGGTGCATATGAGCTCCTCCACCTCTCGACGCCCGACCACGCAGCAGTCGACGAGGCGGTGTCGCTGATCGGCGCAAAGGCGCAGCGCCGCTTCGTCAACGGCGTGCTCCGCAACCTCGCGCGCGGCCGAGGCCGCCTCGTCTCCCCAGACGCGGACCCTCGCCTCGGAGCCCGCGCGGCGCTCGCGGTGAGTACAGTGAAGAGAACTCTGGGTGCGCCGCTGCGTGACGAAGCCGAGACCCATCCCGATCCATCAGGTGCGCACGTCTACGCCCGAGTGGCTGCTCGACGACGTGGCGCGCGCTCTCCGCGGCGACGAGGCGGCGGCGCTGGAGGAGGAGGGCGGAGAGGCGGCAGCGGCGGAGGCGGAGGTCGTGGCTTGGGCCGAGGCGAGCCAGCGGGCGCCGCGGCTGGCGCTGCGCGTCAACGAGGCGCGCTGCACTGCCGACGCCGCGCTGTCCGCGCTGGTCGGCGCCGGAGTGGACGCTACGCTGCACCCGGCCGCGCCGGGCTGCCTGCTCGTGCGTGGCGGCGGGGCGCCGCACCGGCTGCCCGGCTTTGCGGAGGGGCACTGGACAGTTCAGGACGCGGCGGCGGCGCTGATCGGCGCGCTCGCGGCGCCGGCGGCGGGCGGCGCCGTCGTGCTCGAGCTCTGCGCCGCGCCCGGCGGCAAGACGACCCACCTCGCGTCTCTGCTCGGCGAAGGCGGCGTCGTGGTCGCCGTCGAGCTGCACAGCCGCAAGCTGCGCCTGATCGAGGAGTCGAGCGCACGCCTCGGCGTCGCCGCCGCCGTCCGCCCCGTCGCCGCCGACGCGACGGACGTGCCAGCCCTCCGCGCGGCCCTCGCAGCCCACGCCGGCGGCGCGCAAGCCGCCGATTGCGTGCTGGTCGACGCGCCGTGCTCTGGGATGGGGACGCTGCGCCGTAACCCGGAGCACCGCGCGAAGGGGCGCGCGCAGCTCGCCGCGCTGCCCGCGCTGCAGGGGCGGCTCCTCGACGCGGCGTCCGCGTGCGTGCGCGTCGGCGGCGTGGTGACGTATTCGGTGTGCACGCCGCGCGCCGAGGAGGGCGACGACGTGCTCGCCGCCTTTTTGCAGCGGCACGCGGGCCGATTCGAGCTGGAGCGGATCGAGGCGGCCGCGCTGCGACCCTTCGCCGCGCCGAGGGAGCGCTGGGGCGGCGACGTGCTCCAGACGTGGACGCACCGGCACGAGCTCGACTCGCACTACGCGGCGCGGATGCGGCGCGTCGCGTAGTTTTAAGGCGAATCGGGTGGGGAAGGTATTGAACTGCCTTAAAACGGAAGGGCACGTCCTGTTCACGCGATGGCCAGCCGTGGTGTGAGCCCGAAGGGTCGGCGAGAGTCGGCAGGCCAGCAGAGCCCTCGGTCAATATTGGCTCTGACGCCGTAGAGTTTGTTGTAGAGATTTCACGTTGAAGAGCGCCTCTACATCGCTCTACAACGCAGGCGTTCCAAATTTGGGGGGGGGAACCAAATTTTGGGGGCGCCGGGATGTACCCGGGTACAACGAAGTCCGGGATATAACGTACCAATGACTACTTCTGACACGATGGTGTCAAACTTTGGGCTTCGATAGCCTTATTGCGTAAAGCCTCCCACCTATCTTGGACCGGCTTTTTGGGCATTGGTTGCGCAACCCGACCGCAGCGAGAGCGCAAGTGGTGCGGCGGAGCAGCGGCGGAGGCGCGGCGACATGCTGCCACTCTCGGTCGCGCCACTGGCCCAAGACCCGTGCGTCAGCAGCAAGGTCTTCCGCGACCCGATAGTCAACTTTGCCTACGGCGGGCGCGCCGACTTTCGAGGCAAGCACAACGCGCTCTACAACTTCCTGTCTGCCCCCGGACTGTCGGTCAACGTCAAGACGGAGGAAGCGGTCTTCTTTGCGCATCACGGCGTGCTTACCGTGAATGGCACCTTCTTAACTGAGGCGCACATCACCGCGAAGCTCTCCCCACAGCGGCTTGCCACCGCGTCGTTCTGGGCGTCCGAGCTGGACCCAGACAACTTTGGCTGGCGCGTGGTCAACGGCACCTGCGTCGGCCGCCCCTTCCGCTTCGGCAACCGCGGCAAGAAGCACTGCTTCGGCCTCAAGATGGCGATGGACTGGTCGAGCGCCACCTTTGAGCTAGGCAACTGGACGGTCACGGTGAACGGCATTCCATCGTGCGACACTGGCCACGATTGCCTCATCAAGGGGCCGGCCCACCGGATCGACGTTGGCTTCACCGCGCGCGGCGACGCTCCGGCCCGCGACTTGCCACACGGCATCATCGGCCAGTCCTTTGCCACGCCCGGAATGGAGCGCAACGGCAAGCAGGACGTCTACCCCTTTGCGGGAGATTATACCACCACCGCGCAGGCCGAGGGTGCCATCGAGGGCCCGGCCTCCGACTACGAAATGCCCAGCGCCTTCGCGACCGAGTTCGTCTTCTCGCGCTTCAATGCGGCGAAAGGCGACACCGCGTCGGCCTTGGGCGCAAAACTCACCGACATGGTCGAGGCATCGTCAATCGACCGCGTTGCCGCCGCCGCCACCGAAGCGGAGCGCCGCCGTCTCTCCGAGGCGCCCTGGGCTCGGCCCGCACATATTACCCGCCGACTCTCTGATGCATTGGCACATGATATCCTCCGGTTGATCGGACGGTGTGCCACTCTCGAGACACCTTTGCCAATTTGAGTCCATCCCCAGTATCTCGATCATTTTCTGGCAATTCGGGATCGCCCCAGCCGCATTACCATGGCACGCCGTCTGCCCGCAGGTCAGCGCGGGCGGCGGTGGCGGCGGCGGTGGGAGTGGTGGTTGAGCGGGCGGCGGTGCGGATGGAGGGCAGCACTGCGAGAGGCACTCGCTGCGTTGGCCGCTGAGTATCGCTGCGGAGGCCTTGTTTTCGCAGTACCCACCTGGTTTGGTGTAGCTGAAGCTGCACGAGCAATCGCGCTGAAACGCGACCGTGGGGGGCGAAGAGGGCGGAGCGCACGGGTGTGCCACTCCGGCCAGCTTTTCGTAGAGCCTGCGCTCGTCCGGAGGCGCACTCGCCGCCCCAGCAACCTCCACCTGGTCTGTTGACGAGGCGTCCACCGCTGCTGCGCCGGCCGGGAGGGGAAGCATCGGCTGCTTTGCTTCGTGGAAGCGCGAGAAGGCAAACTCCGTCGCCAGCGGACCCGGGAGCTCGTACATGGCCGCGTTGCCCTCGATTGCGCCCTCCGCCATCGCCGACGTGCGGAAGCGCCCCTCTGAGGGGTAGAGGTCGCGTTTCCCGTCCCGCGCCGTACGCCAAGCAAAGGACTGCCCGACCAGGCCGTGGGTCTGGGCCAGCGCCGCCTCGTCCCCGTGCGCGTGCAGCGACACGTCGAGCCGGTGCCTCGGGCCATTAATATGACCCCAGACTGGCGCGGCGGCCACCTTGATCACCCAGCCTGGGACCCTGAACCTTGCGCTCGAGAACCTGACGAGAATCTCCATCTCCTCGCACTTCTTGTACCCGCCCGTGCCGAGGAAGAACTGGCCGCGATCGCCGCACGTGCCATTGATCATGTTGGGTCCCGTTGTGAATTCGTTCAGCTCGGAGGTCCAAAAGCTTGCCGTCGCCAGCTTGTGCTTCTCCCCGCCAACCAGCGCCACGCCGTGCACCTCCGTGATGAAGGAGCCGTCGACCGTTAGCGCATCCCGGTACGTCTTGAACTGGGCCTCCTCAGTGCGCACGTTGATGGCGAAGCTCGGTGTGGACAGGAACGAGTAGTATGCACCATTGCGGCCTCTGAAGTCGGCACGGCCGCCGCGAGCGAATGCCAGGTGAGGGTCCTTTTTCACGTTGGCGCATTGGCTGGCGACGCGAGCGAGCAGGCCGAGGGCGTAGATGGCAAGGACAGCGCGCGCCCACGACGTTCGCGCGCGATTTTTCGGGGAGGGCATGCTGACGTGAGGCAACGTACAGGGGGGACGCGGCGCAGGCGCCCGCCCCGATTGTTGACGCAGTTCGCCGTCGGGGGATGGTAGAGAGTTTTTTTGAAAATGTGATATTTCTTTTTTTGGGTGGACTTATCATGTGACATCCTTCTTACACACTAAATAGCATTCGGGCAAGTTTCGGCAAAAAGAAAAAAGCAAGGGCGCCGCCCCCGCCGAAACCACACGATTGTTTTTTTTTATTTGCGGGGTGGGGGGGGACGTGCGGATGCAAATGGCGGCGGCGCGGATGGCGGCGGCCAGGGGCGGCCCGGGCAGGGAAAAAAAGAAAAGTGCCGGCCCAGTGGCGCCCCGCACAAGAACCTTTTTTTATGATTATTATATACTGGAGACGTATCAACAGGGCGAATATATCGCAATATAAGCCAATATATCCCAATATTCTCCAATATATCCGGACCGTATATTGCGATATATTGGCTTATATTCCACATTTCAGCTGTGAAGCTTATTGTCAGTATTCTCTCAAGTGTTTTCGTCATTTTCGTCATTTTCCTCAATCGCTGTGAACCCAGCCACGTACGCGTGTGCGAAAAACGCGAAACGGTGGGTGGTGGCTGGTGGCTCCGGCCACGGCGGCGGTTACAACTTACTTCAAGTGTACAGTGTTCATCTGCTTACAACACACCCCCCGGCGCTCTCTCCAAAACTCTCGAGCCCGCTCTCTCCGGACTCCGCGCGCCGCTCGGCGCTCGCGGGCGGGGCCCGGGGCGCCCGCGGCCGCGCGCCGCTCCGCCGGCGGCCGGCGCGATGTCGCCCCGCCGCCACGCAAAGCGGATATGTGTCACGTGCCGAGGAGTAGCGAGCGAGCCCTTTTCCCTGAGGACGGCTTCAGGTAGCACCGGAACGGGGAGCCGTGATGAACGGTGTACGAGACGTCTGAGTAGTGCAGCTCACAAGGTCTGCCTGATGAGACGCCCGCGACGTTCCACTCGTACGCGCGGCAAGTCGGATCCGCCTCGCAGAGAGCCTGGCACCGCGCCTGATCGACGCCGGCAAACGCCTCGAAGGCGCCAAGCGAGCACGCGTCCTGGATCCCCTTGCAGTCGTGGGCGTTGCGCGCGTTGCAGCCCGGATAGCAGCCAAAGCACTGTGTCGGGTGCGAGGCCGGCATGTCACACGTGGCGCTGCGGCAGGCGCCCTGCACACCCCCAGGCGGCGCCCATTCGACGGGCGACGCGGAGGGCAGCAGCGGCTGCGGCGGCAAGGGAGACGTGGAGGGCATCAGGCTCCAGAGCATCGACCGGAACTGGTCCGAGTCCTTGACGTGGCATGTGACGCCTCGCTCACCCCGAAATGTCTTGGCGATCACTTCCCTGTGCAGCTCGCAGAGGCTGAAGCTCCCAACCTGCCCAAACTCGTACGCAAGGCAGTCGATCATGCGCGCGCACTCGTCGCGACACACGATCTCAGACACCTGCCACCTCTCGTCGTACCGTCCAGTGCCGCCGTGCGGGGTCGCGCAGCCGCCCGTGGAATTCAGCCAGCGGGTCCCCATCTGGGCGGAGGAGGGCGACGGCGGCGGCGGCGGCGGCATCGAGGGCGGCTGCGGCGGCAGCGGCGAGGGCGGCGGCCGCTGGGGCGACGGCGAGGTCGGAGGGGGCAGCGACGGCGCCGGAATATATTTTTTCGTAGCACGTCGTGGCGATGGCGCTAAGAGGTTCCTCTTTTCCGCGCCCCCCCCGCAAGGCGCGCGATACACAAAAACACAACCCCGGACGCAAGACGCACAAGCACAGACGTTCACGTGACAAGGATCAATCTGGCTTGGCCTCCCCGCTTGGGCGACGCTTGGCGACACATGCCAGCCACCTCAAGCGGGGCCGCCCCTTCGGCGGCGAGGACATGAAGAGAGCGTCCATAGACACCTCACTAGACCCCACACACGGTCTCGTCCGTGCCTCGCCGGCCGGCGAGATTGCTCGAGGTGGAGCAAGCCTGCTCTAGCCTCGCATGTTACTTCCTGTCGTCTGTTGTTTGTTGTGCCCTTGTTTGTTCCTTTGGCACCTTGGAGTGCTGGGGGGGGCGACAGGGAGGATGTGGCCCAGGGAGGAGGGGAAGACGTAGGGTTGAGCTGGACTCGCCTTTCCTGAGGCCCCTCCCCGAAAGGCAAGTATTAGCCACACGAAACCGAGACCCCTCCCCATCGCCCCGATCCCCCCACCCCCTTGCTCCCCTCCCCCCCTCGGGAGGGCCGAACTGAGGCGCCCGTGGGGACCCCGCAATTCCCTTCCCCCCTCGGAGGCAGGGCCGGACAGAGGCGTCGAGGGCCCCGCTCTATCCTTCGCATAGCGGCCACTCTTCGGATCGCTGGTCGAGCGACCCGGGGGATGCCCCGCGCGCCTGACCCAGGCGCGAGAAACGAATCTGCGAGGCGAGGCCGCTCATGCGGCCCGATAGGGAGGAACGGGGCGGACTACGGGGATCGGCCTCTAACACCGCCCTTCCTTGCAGCGAGCCCCCTCCAGCCCACCCGCGCTAGGTCTCGGGTTTGACGCTTTTGGGGTCACTCCCGCGAAACTCGTGAACTAGCCGGGGCAGTCGGAGAAGGGGCAACTCCGTGCACTGACGGTCGGCCGTCAGAAAACACGCCTCCGTGGATCGGGTTACACCGATCCTCGCTGCGCGTACACATCGTACACATCGAACTGGTACTGCTCTGCCTTCTCTGTTGCAGCGTTCGACCAAGTCTCGACGTCCAACTCAAGCTGGGCGTGCTTGATGGCCGAGAAGTTGAGGTGCCCAGATGGGTTGAACGCCTCGGGCTGCAGAGCGTTGAGAGGGATGGCAAAGATGTCCTTCCTGTCCAGTGAGCCGGCCAGCATCTGCAGGTCGTGAGACGACTCGTTCTCAGACACATCCACGTGCTTGTCCACTGCCCGCGCGTAGTCTGTGGACGTGTTAGTGTGTGAGCGACGAGAGGACACGAGCTGACAGCGTCAGCGTGTCAGCGTGTCAGCGTGTCGGCGGTCAGCTCGTGTCGGCGTGTCGGCGGCGGTCACTGCACAGCTCGGCGTTCACAAATCCGACGACCAGTTGTCCTTTCCAAAAAGGCGAATCAGTACTCAGTCTTACACACCTCCAAGCATGGAGGACGGGCCCACACGCACACACACGCTGCACACGATTGGCTCGGGAGCCGACACGAGGCACACTGTCACCGGCCTTAGCACCGGGTCCGGACTGCTGGACACAGCCGAATCTTTTAAAGAAAATATTCTTGCTTTCTCTTAAAAAAAGAAACCCGCGCGCCAGCGTGCGTGACGTGTCATCGCGACGGCCGTGCACGAGTTGACGGCCGCGTGCTACGGAGCAGTCTGCCCCTCCGTCGCTACCCACCCCACCAAGTCAGCAGCCATAGCACATAACTTGCGGCGAGGAAGGCAGCTGGCGGTGGCGGGTACGGCACCGATGCAGACCCCGCCGCACTGCGATCGCGGCGGCCCTCGCCCTCGCGTCTACACCTACACGCTCCCAAAGCACCTCCACGCTGCGCCCGATTATTGGCGCCAGGGCAAAGCGCTGCTGCAGTGGGTCCGCACGAGCGTCCACCACGAGCCCGACGGGGACTGTGCCGACTATTGGCTGCTGCCCGGCTTCCCGCCAAACGTCTTTAGCCGGGCAGACATGAGGCGCCTGTGCGACGACCCCACCATCGCAATTTTACCGCGGCCCTCACCCCGCGCACTCAAACTGCAGGTCGCTGGGCGACGTGCGAATCGCTCGCATCTTCCACTACCTCCGCTCGCGCTGGCCGTGGTGGAACCGGACTGCCGACGCGGGCCAGGCGCGGCACGTGCTGCTGCTGCCAGGCGACCACGGCCCGGGAGACACGGGCTACGACCGTCCAATCTACCCGCACAAGTGGTCGCCGACCGACTCTGACGCCGCGCAGGACCGCCGGAACCACGTCTGGAACGGCTCGCACGCCGCGGAGATCCGCAGGCTGTGGGGCGCCGGCTGGGAGGCACTCAACCCCGCGAGCCCCGGCCGGCTCGTCCTCTTCCTCCTCTACAGCGGCTGGGCGGACCAGCTCACCAGCCAGCGAGGCCACTGCCTCAACTGCTTCACCCACGGGCTCGACGTGCGGCTGCCTTCGGACGAGGCGCACACCTGCGGGCCGCTGTGCGGACTGCCGCGCCGCAGGACGGCCGAGTGCCCAGAGTGCGGCCTGGGGCGGAAGGGGAGGGTCGCCGCGCTCGGGCGCCTCGTGGCGGCGCCATCGCCGACGGCGGCGCGCAACTGCTCGCTCCACTGGGCCGGGCGGGGAAGCGTGGGCAGCAACCCCGCCCGAAAGACGCTGCTCCAGCTGGTGGACGCCCCGGGCGTGTGTATCCACGACACGGGGCGGAGCGGCGTCAACGCGGTCGACATCCCGTCCGCGATGCGCACATCGCGTTTCTGCTTCTCCCCTCGCGGGTGGGACAACGGCGACTCGGACCGCTACCTCCCGGCGCTTCTCCACGGCTGCATCCCGGTGCTCTCGGACCCGCTCGAGGCGATGCCGCTGCAGGAGCGAGGCGGCGCCGCGGCGGCGCGAGGAGGCGGCGTCTCTTCACAGCTTCCGCCGTGAGCAGGAGCTGCGCGACGAGTGGCGGTGGGAGGAGGCGGCGCTCGCGGTGGACGTGGCTCGCATCCCCACGCTGCCGCAGGTGCTGGGCAGCCTCGGCCCCGGCGCGGAGGCGGCGCTCCGTGCGGCGGGCGAAGCGGCGCGCGAGCACCGGCTCCCTCACCGCCCTCCTCGCCCTCCTCGTGCGCTGCTGACACCTCGCGGCGTGAGCAGGCGCGCGAGCGCATGCTCTACACCACGCTCGCCTTCGACTGCTGCGCGCCCGCCGCCTGCAACGCCTCGCGGGCGCGGGCCGCTCCCTCGACCCACAGCCACGCGCGATCGGTGCGGCAGGCGAGGCTGTGGCAGCCGTCCCCGTGCGGGCCGGAGCGGCGGCGGAGGGCGGGCTCGTACATCGGCGAGGACGGGTCTCGCGACGCCTTCTCGGGGCTGATGAAGGTGCTGGCGGGCCGCCTCTCTGGCGAGCCTGCGCCGCCTGAGCCGTGGAGCACGCGCGCGGACTGCCTCGAGCCGGGCGGCGCGGCGGCGCCTGGCGGCCGGCCGTGCGCCCCCCTCGCGCACCTCGTGCGAGAAGGGGACGGCCGGCCGAGGCCGAGGGACAAGGCGCACCTCGTCAAGGAGGGCCGCCCCTCTGCCGACTGGTTCCAGCGCCGCCACGGCTGGGCCACCGCTCTCAAGGAGAGGGCGGTGCCGAGGCTGGCTGAGTTTCCCGCGCCGGCGGCGTCGCACCGCCGTTTGCTCGCCACCGCTGCTCGCGAGGGCGGGATGGCGGCAAGGGCGGGCGGGTCGTGAGATGAGAGTGGCGATTAGTAAGCGCGGCTAGCTGCGGACCGCTGTGAGCGGAGGTTTGCCCCGCAACAGGTGAGATGCTTTTGCGTGAGCAAGAGCGTGTCGTCGGAGCATTTCCCGGGTTGCCCCGGGTGGACTCCGAGATAGCACGTCGGTCAGGGGGATTAACGTTAACGAATAAATTTGTGTATTTCCCCATATGAGGGATCTTGGGAAGCGACGCGTGTCTCTTTTATGGACCTGAGGGCCCAACTTGAGAATCGTGCTTTGAGTTGGGTTGTTTCGTGTTGGGTTGGGTTGTGCTTGGGTTGGGTTGTTCCGCGTGAGGTTGGGTCGTCGGCGCGAAGGGTGAGTCTCGACCGCCGCCGCTCACGCCAGCGGACGGCCACTGCCGGTGTTTTTGGCTTCGCCACCGTCCAAGGCGTGCGCCATGCGCTCGCCGGCATCGAGCGAGCAACGTGATCGACCGAGCGGCTTGCTGTGTGGTCGCCTTCTTGTGGCTCTCGTCGAGAGCGTTTTGCGTCCCGGCGGGTGGGAGAGCATGTGTCGTCTGATGTGTCACTGTGTACGCGTCATTTCAGTCTTGATAATAAGCACGGTCGATCCGTCAAAGGACAAAGCGATACACTCATTCCTATCACGCTGGAGGGCTGGCACGGAGCTCTGTGCCGGCACACAGAAGAGCCGTGCGGCAAGAAGAGCTCGATGGGGAGCGAGAACCGTCAGATTTTCAGGTGTAACCTGAAGTCCGTCGCGACGCACTCAATCCCTCCCGAGCGAAAGCCTGTGGCTCTCTCGAACTCGTCGATATATTGCGAATAAACTGCTCTTCCCGCATAGCTTGCAGAGTCAGAGGCGCAGAAAGGCTACGAGTGTTCGACGAGTCTTGCGAGCTGCGCGGTCAAACCTGGGGGGGACTGACCGCATCAAGGCGGACTTCCGAAACCTGGGTGAGCACCTCTGGCAGTTCTCGCTCCCCATCGAGCTCTTCTTGCCGCACGGCTCTTCTGTGTGCCGGCACAGAGCTCCGTGCAAGCCTTCCAGCGTGATAGGAACGAGTGTATCGCTTTGACGGATCGACCGTGCTTGTTATCCACATCGATGTGACGCACACAGTGACACTTCAGACGACACACATTCTCCCACCCGCCGGGACGCAAAACGCTCTCGACGAGAGCCACAAGAAGGCGACCACACAGCAAGCCGCTCGGTCGATCACGTTGCTCGCTCGATGCCGGCGAGCGCATGGCGCACGCCTTGGACGGTGGCGAAGCCAAAAACACCGGCAGTGGCCGTCCGCTGGCGTGAGCGGCGGCGGTCGAGACCTCACCCTTCGCGCCGACGACCCAACCTCACGCGGAACAACCCAACCCAACCCAACAACCCAACCCAACCCAAAAAGCACGATTCTCAAGTTGGGCCCTCGACCTGTGTTAGTGCCAGTGCGCGCCAGTCCCGTGCCAGTGCGCAGTGTCGTGCGAGGGAGCTTGGTTCTAAAATTCTTGTGGTTGACTGCTCCTGTGGTGGGGGCGACGGCTTCTGAGGATCCCGTCACTCGCGCCTCGTGCTCTGCGAATCATAAATTTCTTGCGTCGCCGAATCGCCGCTCTCACGCGGCCTCAGCTCATGCCTGACTGGGCTTCGCTCAGCCGGTTCGAGATTCGGCACGTGACGCTGCCTCTCCAGCGGTACCGCGCGTTAGACGTGCCCTCCCAGGTGCTCGGTCACTCCGTCTCTGGCGAGGCGATGCTGCCGCTCTTCGCCAGCCTTTACTGGTGCCTGGACCAGCACAAGTGCTTCTGCGGCATCTGGCTGGTGCCGCTCTCGGAGATGGCCAACGGCGTCGTCAAGTGGCTCACGCGCCGCGGCCGCCCCGCCTGGGTCGACGAGCGCGTGATGATGCACCAGTGGTCGTCCGAGTTCTCCTTCCCGTCCTCGCACTCGCAGCTCGCGGCTGCGGTGATGACGTGGCTGGTCCTCTCGTCGGCACACGCCGAGGCGGCGACATCGACGCCCGCCCTGCCCAGCGCCGCCTACGCACTGCTCGTCGCCGCCTCGCGAGTGCACGTTGGCCTGCACTTTCCGAGCGACGTGGCAGTCGGGCTGCTATGGGGCGCGCTCTCCGCCGCCGCCTACGCCCACATCGTACTGCCCTCGCTCCCTAGCTTCGTGCACTGGAGCGCCACGAGCCGGCTCTGTGCGCTGCTGCTGCCCGCCGCCGCCGCCGGCCTCGCCGTCCACGCCGCGTATTGCGTCGCCGAGCGGTCTCGCGGCTCCGACCCGCCAGAGTGGAGTCGGAACGCGTGCCGAGGGCGGTACAAGGCGAGCGCCCCTCCCGAGGGCCCTTCCCGAGGCCCTTCCCGAGGCCCTTCCCGGGGCCCTTCCCGAGGCCCTTCCCGAGGCCCTTCCCGGGGTCTCTCCGAGACCCTTCCCCAGACCCTTCCGAGACGCGCCGCGAGGACACAGTCCGCCTCGCCGGCTGCCGCAGGGGCGAGAGCTCGACCCGCGGGGCGTGCCGCACGGCAACTACATGGGCATGCTGGGCGTGCTCGCCGGGCTGGCGGTCGGCGGCGCCTTCAAGCACCTCTTCCCACTCCACTACCCCGGCTCGGGCGCCTCTGCCTTTGTCCGCGCCGTCGTCGGCAACGGCGGCTGCGCCGCCGCTCCTCGGAGGTCGCCCCTCAGACACGCCCAAGACGCGTCCTCGACGCGTCCCGCAGGCGGGCTGCTCGCCCTCTTCGAGGGGATCGGCGCGGCGACGCCGAGGCAGCCGCTGCGCCTCTACGCCGCGCTCCGCTTTTTAAAGTACTGGCTCGTGCCGGTGTACATCCTCCTCCTCGCGCCGTACGCCTTTGTGCGGCTCGGCTTGTGACGGCGCGCGGCCGCGGTGTGAGAGAGATCTGATGTATCCACTATTGGGAGGCGGGAGCTGAAGAGCTCCCAGCCTCAGAGAGCGTGCATGTGTGGGGCAAGTTGTGGAGTGGTGCGTGGGTGTTAGGCTTAGCGCGGTGTGTGTTCGATAGCAGCTGCAGAGTCGCGTGTGGGTATTTGTTTGTCGATTGTCGCCGATGAGGATGTCTCTACCAACGTGAAGACGATTCAAAAAAAACACAAACGAGAAGAACAACACTGCCAGGGCGCCACCCTTCCGCGGGCCCCGACGCGAGGGGGCGTGCGGCAAGGGGGGGGGGGGGGGACAATGACAACGAGACAGGGCGGATCCCAGGGCGCAGGGGGAGAAGTGGGACACAGACGTGCTACTACTGTACACTGTGAGGAGGGATCCGCGACGCCGCCCATCGCTAGGAGAGGTACCCGCTGTCCGAGCCGCTATACTCGCCATTGCTCTCGTCGCCGTCCTCGCTGGGTCCGGTGGAATCAGGCCGCTCGCCCACCCACAAGTCGATCTTCTTCGGAAGCAGCTGGTCCTCCACGCCTTGGCCCATGACGAAAGGATAACCGTGGCCCAAGATGGACTCTCCCCCTCCGCCGTGATGGCCCCAGGAGAAGAATGCTCCGTCAGCAGTGAGGGCGAAGCCGTGGCAGCCGCTGGCCACCACAGAGACGACGCGCTGCCCGGCCAAGGCCTCGATCTTGTTGGGCAGCGACCGGCTCTGCGTGTCGCCGTGGCCCAGGCGTCCTAAATTGTTTGGGCCCCAGGACCAGGCGGAGCCGTCGGCGGTGATGGCGAAGGTGTGGCGGTCTGCCGACACGGCGATGACGCGCTGGCCAGCGAAGGCGTCGATCCTCTTCGGCAGCAGCTGCTTCTCCGTGTTGCCGTGGCCCAACGTGCCTAGGAGTCCCGAACCCCAGCTCCACACCACACCGCCAGTGGTGAGAGCGAAGCTGCAGCCGCCTCCTGCCGACACAGCGATGACGCGCCGGCCCGACAAGGCCTCAACCTTCTTGGGAAGCTGCTGGTTCTGCTCGTTGCCGTGGCCCAACGCGCCGTCTCTTCCCTCGCCCCAGCTCCAGATTGCGCCGTCCATTGTAAGGGCGAGAGAGTGGTAGTCGCCCGCAGAGAGAGCAACGACGCGCTGGCCCGCCAAGGCCTCGATCTTCGTCGGGAGGTGATGGTCGTGCCGGTCGCTGTGGCCCAGCGAGCAGCTCGAGAACATGCCGCCGCCCGCACCCCAGCTCCAGACGGCGCCGTCGGTGGTGAGGGCGAGGCTGGAGAAGCTCCCAGCAGAGATAGCCACGACGCGCTGCCCAGCCAGGGCCTCGATTTTCTTTGGGCGCTGCTGGTAATGCCCGCCAGCATGACCCAGCCATCCTCCCCCGCCCTGCCCCCTTCCCCAACTCCAGACTGAGCTGTCTGCGGCGAGGGCGAGGCTGAAGCAGGACCCAACTGACACGCTTTCAGCGCGCGCTCCCCCGAGCTGCGAGGGGAGTCGTGTTGGGCGGCCGCCGGCCTCTCGGCCCTCGAACAGGCCAAGGCCGCGCCACGGGTCGTGCCCAAGAAGCTTCGTGTCGCCGGCTCCGCCACACGACGCGAGCCGCCCCTCGCCGTCGATGAAGACGCTGTGCTGCATGCTTGACGCCACCCTCGTCGGCGGGTTGGACTCGCGCTGCATCGCCGCAAAGCACAGCCAGCACACGTCGCAGCTATCGCCCGCTGGCGGCTCTGCTAGCTCGTAGCCGCGCTCTCGCGCCCGCAAGCGGATGCCTTCCTCCGCGAGCGAGGAGTGGAAGATGCGCGAAACGGCCGCGACGCGAGCGATGTCGGCGGGGGTGTCGCAGCGCGCGACGACGCGCGCGAGCAAGTCGGTGGCCAAGTCGAGCAGCGCGAGCGGTGGCGGCGGAGGCGCTTGCGTCATGTGACAAATCGGGCTCGTTTTTCTTCTTTCCGGCTGAAGCAGCGAGAGAAAAGGAAAGTCGTTTGCGCCCCGTTTGTGCCGCGTCCCGTGCCCCCGAGTTTACGCGATAATAAATTATGATTGATGACACACACAGAACACAGAGGTGACAGTACACGGACTAGATTGATCGGATCTCATCGTGACACTAGACAGCGCCAGGGGGAGCCTGGGAGGCAGCCATCAGCTTCTGGCCCATGGAGTAAAGCCAGTCCGCCTCCGCCTCGTCGTCCTGTGAGTGCTGCGGCTGGTAGTACTTGACCGCCTTGCCCTTGGTGTCGATGACGTCGTGGTCAGGTGATATGCGATTGCCGAACATGCGCGACACCCGGATGGTCTTTGCCTTGCCGGCGGCGAAGGCGGTCAGGCTATCGTAGTCGCCGACCACAGCTAGTGGGCGGCCGGAGGTGTAACTAGGCGCGTAGAGGTAGTTGTCGGGGTGGTCGGCACCGCCGCCCTTTGAGGAGGAGATCACATGCAGCACGTCCTGCCCATCAATCTCGTCGCTATCGAGCAGCACGCGCAGGCACCGTGCATACACGGCTCGCGTCATGCACTCCGACTCAGCGATCGCCTTGCGCGCCGCCTCCAGCTCCGCAGCCTTGTGGAGTCTCGCCTCGAGATCGGACGCTGCGTCGTGGATGCTCTTCGCGTGATCAATGAATCATTGTCAATGTACCAACTCACCGCCTCCTTACGCGCATCCACCTCCGCATCCACCGGCGATTTTGTTGAGGAGCTTCACAGTAGCACAATAGTCGATCTCGAGCACCACAAGGCTGCGCGCGCCGGGGGTTTCTTTTTTTGGTTTTTCCGCGCTCCGGGGGGTTCTTTCTTTGCGAGGGAAACTCTTTCTTTCCAGTTTCGGCGGACGCCCCGCGCTGCGCACTGGCTCCAAGATAATTCTTCCGATCCACATGCTAGGGGTCGCAGTGGGATCTAGAAATTCAGAAAAATCATGAGGTGTGGTACCGCGGCAGCATCCTCTGTTGTTTTGTGTTTGCAGCCTCTGTGTCGGTCGGATAAAAATGGAAATAAATGGACACGCATGCGCATGACAGGACCCAGTATAGTACACAGCACAAGTATGATTCACCGCCACAGGCGCGCGGCCGCGGGGAGGGGTGACCTGGCTTCGAGATAGATGATTCTGAGGGAGGGTGTGGAGGATGTAGAGTGTAGAGCGTTGTAGAGCTGTAGAGATGTAGAGCGCTCTGGAGCAATGTAGAGCTGTAGAGCTCTACATCCGGCGCGGGACAGAGCGATGCAGATGTAGAGAGATGTAGAGGCGCTCTACAACGTGAAATCTCTACAACAAACTCTACATCAAAAGCGGCGAACGAGGCACGGTCGCTCTCCGACATTAGGCGCGTTGCACTTGCCAGTGCTGCCCTGGCCTTCTGTCTGCCCGCCCAATGGGTGGCAGGTGCCTCTGCTGCTGTGGCATGCCTCACGGCTGCGACTGGCCGGCGCCTCGGCGCGTCAGCTCGGCTCGGCGTAGCGATCGTGGCCAGCGCAACTCGCTTGGACTCAACGCTCAGCCAGGAGCTCCCGCACGCGCTGGCGCGAGGCATGGCGCATGCAACGCGCAGCAATGCTCGCCTCGCCTCGCGCAAATGCGACCGTCCTCGCAGCCGACAGTCTACCGCCTGCTAAAGAAGCACAGCGACGAATGCGGCACCGGCGACGCATGGCAGGCTGGTCATGACGCAGTTATACGGTGTTGTGTGCCGTCAGAGGGACTCTCTGTGTGTCAGGGATAGTCAGGGCCGTCCATCAGACCTCCAGTAAGCTCGGAGACACCCCACTAGTGCGGCTCGACCTCTTTGAGTCACTGCCTTCTCGGCGGGTTTGCTGTAGAGCCTCTACAACAAACTCTACAGCAAAATCGCGCTCTACATCGCTCTACAACGCACGCAGTTCGTCCCGCGCCGGATGTAGAGCTCTACAGCTCTACAGCGCTCTCCAGCGCTCTACATCTCTACAGCTCTACAGCGCTCTACACTCTACATCCTCTACACCCTCCCTCAGAGATGATTCTGCAACCCACATGCTAGGGAGGTCCGTGCTCTAACTACTCTATCGTTGCTCGACCACGCGTTTGGGCTCTCTCGAGGAGGAAGTGGCGGCCCCCGCGGGAGCTCGCTCGCGCCGATGCTGTCATGCGGGACCGATTGAGCGGCGGCTCGCAGTGGGATCGGACTGCAGGAAGGTCCGTTGGGGCTCGAGACGAATGACCGTACGGTTGCGGCGCGTTTGCCCCTTCTCGTCCAGACTCCACGCGCCGGGCCCACCCCGCCGGACCACTGCGCCGCGCTTCCCGACTGGTTGAGCTGATGGCGTGACGATAACCCAACGCTAGTACAGCCAGAGTGCGATTGTGTGTGTAAATAAATAAATAAAACGGACACCTCTACTAGGAGATGGGTAAAAAGGAACAGGTCCCCGCCCTTGCGATCGAACCGCGCATCGCTGGGTTCCGCTCGATAGGGGGTCTGGCGCCACTAGCGGCCAAAACGCCCAACCAACCCAGCCCCGCCTAGCCGCGCTCCAAGGGCTGTCGCCACGCACGATTCACACGACAGATACAAGGCGCAGGCGACGGCTTCCTAGGAAGCCGTCGCCCTCTATGCGGCGAGTACCCACCGACGGTGTCGCGCAGAAGCGCTTTCCCTGTACACGGCGCGCTGCGCTGCCACACGCTGCTCTCACTAGTGCCAAGCGGCGATCGAGTCATCAGGGCGTGGGGCGCTGCCCCTCACTCATGCCCGCTCGGCCACCTCCGCCCGGACCTTCTCGAGCTCCACGTCGCGCGCCGCCACCGTCCCCTTGAGCTTCGCCACCGTCCCCTTCAGCTCCGCCACCTGGTCGAGCGCGTCGCCGAGCAGCCCCTTGGCCACGCCAAAGTCGCGCAGCTGCTCCACGCCGCCGCTCGCCCGCACCTCGGCGGCGTGGTCGGCCACGAAGCGGCGGCACTGCGCGAGGAGCCGCCCGTCGCCCATCGTGTGCGCCGCCTCGAGCAGCGGCACGGCGGTCGCCGGCGCGACGCTCTCCTGCAGCGCCTGCGCGCAGAGCAGCTCGAGGCGCGGCACCTGGTACATCTGCGCCAGCTCCCGCAGGTCGAGCGCGCGCTGCGCCCTGCCCTCCTCCTCGCCGAGGTCGAGCTCATCGGTGCAGAGGTAGTCGATAAGGGCGGTGAAGCTGGCGAGGTCGATATGGGGCACCGTGACCTCGGCGGCGTCGCGCTCCTTCATGCCGATGCCAAACATGGTCCGAAAGACCGGGGACCGAATGCAGAGCACGTTCTTGCTCACGTGCTCGATGCGCTCCCGGTCGTCGCCGACCAGGAAGGTGACCATGCCCTGCGGGAGGGAAGCGTCGCCCCGCGTCTTCTTCATGTCGGCCGAGAAGGTGGAGGGCGGAACGACGATCGGGGCAAAGGAGGGAGGCGGAGGAGGCGCAGCCACGCAGACCTGGCGGAGGCCACCTTCCGAACCGACCAACAGCGTGCTCCCGTCCGGGCTGATTGCGACTTCATCTGGGCTGGCGAGCTGCGCCGCGTCGCCCACACCATCGGCGTTGCCCTCGGTGCCGCTGCCCGCGAGGGTCGTCACAGCGCCCGTCGCCACCTCGACCCGCCGAATCTTGTGGCTCTCATTGTCCGCCACAAACAGCGCGCTGCCGTCCGTGCTGATGGCCATACCGTAGGGGTAGCAGAACTCCGCCGCGTCGCCCACGCCATCCGCGTCGCCATTCTCGCCGCTGCCCGCGAGCGTGGTCACCGCGCCAGTCGCCACCGCCACCCGCCGGATCTTGTGGCCGCCGTTGTCTGCCACAAACAGCGCGCTGCCGTCTGGGCTGATGGTGATGCCAAGCGGTATATTGAACCCCGCCGCGTCGCCGACGCCATCGGCGCTGCCCGTGGTGCCAGTGCCCGCGATCGTCGTCACCTCTCCCGTCGCCACCTCAACCCGCCGGCTTGTCGTTGTCGTGGTCCGTCACAAACAGCGCGCTCCCGTCCGGGCTAATGGCGATGCCAGCTGGGCCGTTGAACTGTGCTGCTTCGCCCACGCCATCGGCGCTGCCCTCGTCGCCGCTTCCAGCGAGCGTGGTCACCTCGCCAGTCGCCACCTCCACCCGCCGGATCTCGTGGCCGCTGAAGTCCGCCACAAAAACCGCGCTCCCGTCCGGGCTGACAGTAACGGTGTAATAGTAGTCGCCACCTCCACTTGCCGGCAAGGCTGCCACGCGGCGCACGCGCCCGGCCGCCGAGACGTGCAGCAGCGAGTCAACGGTCGCGACGTACCAGGCGCCCGCGTGATCGCTCGCGACGCCAACGCGACCGAGCGATGCCTGAAGGCCGTCCTCGCCCTCGAGCGTCAGCGTGGCGACCTGGCCGACGCGCGCGCCAAAGATGGGCGCCTCGAAGCCATCCGCGACCGGAACGGGCTCCTCGTCCTCCTCGCCGCCGCCGCCGCCCGTGCGGGCGCGCTTGCCGGCTCGGGACATGGGGGTGGATTCGGGACAAGGGCTGGGTAGGGTAGCTCGACTCTTCATAGAAAAACCTTCTTTCCCCCTTTTGCGCATGTCTTGTCGCCCTCACGCCCTCGGCCTGGTCGCCAAGAGAGAAAAACGCCGGACACAGGGACGATGTGGGAGGCGAGCTTGCGAGAGTGCGAGCCATGCAGCGTGCTCGCAGTGCCGCTCGCAACGTCAGGGGTCGTCCGAGGATTCCTCTAGGGCCCCTGCACGAAAAAAGAAAGCGGGTCTTGCTAGTCAGGAAACAAGTGCTGTAGCGAGCCTGTCGCTGTCCCTTGTCAGGAGCAGGAGAACTAGGAGAGCGCAACCAGTAGGAGGCCCGCGCCTGCCCCCGTGCCGCCGGGTGCAACCTGTCCTATACGAGAGAGGAATCCCTGGGACCCTGTCGTGTGGGTCGTGAACCCTGCCCAGCCCCCCTCCGTGTCGCGATGCGCTCCCCGCTCCCGTTCCCCTGTGTCCCTGATCGTCCTTACAAGATCCTGCTCGTGCACCGCCGCCTCGTCCATCTCCGGCTGCGGGTGGTCGATGAGATGCCGTGCGAGCTTCAACAGCTGATGTCCAAGTGCCGTCCGTGACTCCATCGTCTCCTTCGACAAGTTGATAGTCACCATGGAGAGCGCCTCGACGACCCAGTCGAGGTCGACGTCCATGTCCATGTCGCTGCCCGCCGCGTCGGCGGCGCTTGAGCTTGCGGCTCCGCTCGGCGCAGCGACTGCAGAGCTGAAGCGGCCGCTGCGTGGCCTCACCGCCACCATCTTCTCGTCCTTCCAGAACGAAAGCCGCAGCCGCGTCGCGTTAGCGTCAAATTGATACGACGGGTGCGACTGTGGTGACGGCACTGCCCACTCAGGCTCGGGGGTACCGCAGCCAGGGCGAAGCAGCACCAGCCCGAAAGGTGCAAAAGCGTCCTCGTAAACCAACTCTGTGACTTTGGTTGCCTTTCGAGTCGGCTCGTAGCGTTCGTTGCAAAGACAGAACTGGAAGTGTCCAATCGAAGGCTTGCTCCTGCGAAAGCCTCCGAGAGTACCACCCTTGTCAGGCAAGCACGATTTGGCATCGGCAGACGGGACGCAGCGCACGTACTGCAGCTCAACGAAGAATCCTGCTGGTCCCTTGCACGATGTGCAGAGGTACTTCTGGAACAAGGTTTCGCCCTTTTCGAGACTACCGTCGCAGCCCGCGCCGAGAAGCCTGCCGAGACAGACGGGCGGCGCCGACGGGCTCTTGCGCGTCGACATATAGTGATCGTGATCGGTGGAAGGGACGACCGACCGCGCGCTGGAGGGTACGAGCAATGTCGCGAGGTCTCTTGCTATTACGCCGGGGCGGGCGCCCCGGGAAAGAGACCTGCGACGTATCGGTCTCATACTCGCACCCCATCTCCGTCGAAATTTTCTTTTCTTTTCCATCTATTTTCATCACTTCGGATAGTTCCCCGCTGTGGAAGTTACAGCCGCAAGTGTCACGCGCCAACCGCAACTGTACATGTCGCCCCCCTCCCCCGGGCGCTGGCTGCCAGGCGGCAGCGTCGCCGAGGCGCCCCTGAGGAGCGTGTGCACGGAGGGCGAAGCCACGCAGCTAGTGGCTGACCTACGCGATATGCAGCTAGCCGGTCGCCTGCCGATTGCTCTTGCCACCGTGCACGACGCGGCAAAGAAGGCTCGACGCGACTTGGCAGACAAGGCTCGGCGCGACACAGCGGAGAAGAAGCCGGCATTCCTGTCGCCGCGCCGGATGGCTCTGAATGCTGCTCAGAGGCGGGCGGACGCCGCGAAAGACAAGGCAGCCAAGAAGACGAGTGCACCGGCTCCGTCCCGCTCCCCAACGGCCTTCTTTCGGAAGCGCGCGACGATGCAGGTCAACTGCATGGACCCGCGCGTGTGGAACTGAGCAGGCGTGTCCGTATGCGGAGCTTGGAGCGTCCCCGCAGCTGCTAGCCGTGCAAGCTGTCGGACATTGAGTGTGGGCGCCAGCGGCGCCGCGTAGTCGCACCCACGGGTAGTGCGCACCGCCACCGCCCAGGCCCCAGCGCCCACACCGGCCACCGGCTCTTCGACCCTCTGGCACTGCTCCGCGCGCGTGTGGCCGGATAATCTCATCGGAACGACCGAGACGGATGCCAGAGAGCAGAGTGCACAGTCTGCATGAGTCTCGCGTGTGCGCGCCACACGTGTACTGCGGCAGCCGACGCGTATAAGTTACCTGGCGTCCGTGAAATGCGGCGCCTTACTTCGTGTGGTCAGCGCGACCCGCGCGGCTATCCCGCAACGGGCGGGCAAGCAGCCGGAGGCGCGCGAGTCGCTGTGCGTGTCATCTGCTCCGCCCCCAAGTACTCTCAGGCCATGTACTCCTTGAAGACCTCGTTCTCCGTCTCGTCAAAGTAGGTGACGCCTACAGCACACCGCCTCGCACGTGGAGCGGCCGTGGCCCACGCAACGCCTCCCCCGGGCAGCAGCCGCCGAGTCCGTCGAGCATGGCGTCAAAGTCGCCGTGCTTGTTAGCGGGCCTACGATGTGCCAGACGCGTCCCGGACATGTCCTTCGGCGCCTCTTCCTCCCGCGGCGCTGCAGCCGCACATCTTGACGCCGGCGAGCACCTTCCCGACCTGCCCGCCGTGGTTGCGGTAGTGCAGCAGCGTGAGGAACATGTCGGGCGTGAGCGCCGACAGGAAGGCGGCGAGTGAGCCTGTTCACAGGCGCGTACCGTGGGCAGGGGCTCTTCACAGCGTGAGGCAAGGACGTGTGGAGAGCGAGCCCGAGTGCTCCGGGAACTCGAAGCGGATCAGCCGCTCGCCAGCCAACTCACCGGGCCGCGCGCCTGAAGCAACCCGCGTCACTCTCATCCGCAAGCCTCCGCCGCACCGCCCCCCCGCCTCTCTCGCCAGGGCAGCGCACCGGCCAGGTAGCGCGCGTGCGTCTTCGCCATCTCGTTGGCCGTCACGTCGGAGCCGTGCACCTTGACGAGGTGCGGCCGAGGTCGGGGTGGCGGTGGGCAGGCCTTGAGGCGGCGGCGAGGGCGGGAGGGCGGCGGCGAGGGCGGGAGGGCGGCGGCGAGGGCGGGGCGCGCGGCACCTCAATCTTGCGCAAGTCGTCGAGGAGAGCGCG